CTTCTCCTCTTCCCTCCAAACATGGCCGTCCAACTTCTTCACGATCCCTCCCTTGCTCACTAGTGAGTCAATCTCACTCTTGCGTAATCTGCAGCTAGTACAGAGAAGTTCGATCCCTTCCTTGCTGGTCAGAAGGTAATCCACACTTATCAGATGCATTGCCCGGATCCAATCTACACATGCCCTAGATTTAATTTATGGCCCTCACACAATATCTTTGATCTTTTTGTTGGCAGTTTCAAATTCGTGATGGAGCCAAATCTGATTTTTGGTGAAGTAGCAGATAAGAACAGAGCATTTGAAGATGCTGACGAAGATGCTTTCATCTTTGAGGAAATTAGGGATTCTTCGGATGATCAACAAGTAGGCAGATCATGATGTTGCAGCCTAAGAAGGGGATGACGTTCGATAGTGAGGATGCTGTTGTTAACTTCTACAAAGATTATGCCAAAAAAGAGGGATTTGGTGTAATAAGAAGAACCACTAGACATGGAGAAGATAGCAAGCTTGTTTATTTTACTCTTGCTTGTAACAGGCAAGGGAAGGCTCAATATTCATCCAAGAACTCATTTAAACCTAATCCATCAACGAGGATGCAATGCCCAGCTAAGATTAATTTATCTCGTCGTGAGGAGAAGTTCTGCATTACATCTATTACGCTTGACCACAATCATCCTATAAGTCCAAGTAAAGCCAGATTTCTGAGATGTCACAAGAAACTGGACTTGCATGCCAAGAGAAGGCTGGAATTGAATGATCAAGCAGGAATCCGTCTGAATAAAAAATTTGGTTCTCTTAAGCTGGTGGGTATGTTAATCTTGAGTTCGGTGAAAAGGAGTGCAGGAACTATTTGCAAGAGACAAGAAGGCTGAAACTTGGTGCCGGAGATGCACATGCTGTCTACCAATATTTTCTTCGGATGCAATCAAAAGATCCTGACTTTTTCCATCTTATGGATGTGGATAAGGATGGAAGACTGAGAAATGTCTTTTGGGCAGATGCAAGAAGTAGGGCAGCATATGAATCTTATTGTGATGTCATCACATTTGACACTACATACTTAACAAACAAGTATAGCATGCCATTTGCTCCCTTTGTTGGCGTAAATCATCATGGAGAATCAGTTCTGTTAGGTTGTGGCCTTCTATCCAACGAAGACACCGACACTTTTGCGTGGTTATTTAAATCTTGGCTATGTTGTATGTCGAACAAACCACCAAATGCTATAATCACTGACCAGTGCAAAGCAATGCAGAATGCTATTGAAGAAGTTTTTCCTCAAGCTCGTCACAGATGGTGGGTACCAGCATATGTAAAAGATACTTTTTGGGCAGGGATGTCTTCAACACAAAGGAGTGAGAGTGTGAATGCTTTCTTTGATGGGTATGTTCACGCTAGAACAACTCTAAAGCAATTTGTGGAGCAGTATGAAAATGCATTAAGAGACAAGGTAGAGAAAGAAACCAAGGCTGATTCTAAGTCGTTCCAAGAGGAAATTCCATGCATTACTCATTTTGACTTCGAAAAGCAATTTCAAGCAGCATATACCAATGCAAAGTTTCAAGAGTTTCAAGAGCAATTAAGAGGGAAAATCTATTGCTATCCATCTCTGCAAAACAATGAAGGGCCACTTCTTACATTTAGAGTTAGAGAGGACCGCAAGATTTTTTTTGAAGGAGAGGATGGCAGCATTAAAGAGAAATGGATTATTTCAGATTTCACTGTCTTGTTCAAGCAAGAGGAATGTGATGTGCGGTGTATTTGTAGGCTTTTTGAATTTCGAGGCATCTTGTGTAGCCACATCATTACCGTGCTTGCTCTCATGGGGATCAAAGATGTACCTTCTAGGTATATATTGCAGCGATGGAGAAATGATTTTAAGCGCAAACACGTATTTATTAAATGCTCCTACGATGATATGTTGAATACACCAGTTGTGCAGCGTTATGATGAATTATGCAAGCGTTCTCATGAAGTGGCAGAGAAAGGTGCAGAGCCCGATGAATTGCGCGACTTGGTGATGGATGGGCTTGATCAGTTAGAAAGAAAGGTTGATGCATACCGTGCTAGCCATGCTGTTCAAGTACAGGCAGAAAATCCAACATCAAAGCATGAAGATACAATGTTAAACAAAGAAAAACTTGGTACTCAGTCCAATCCCTGTTCGCAGTGCAGGCCGTCCTCGTTCAAAGAGAAAGATATCTAAAGTGGATCAAGTGATCCAAAAATTGAGAGCAAAGAAGCGGCAGGTGCCAACAAGTACAACCAAAGTGCAGACTCATAAGGGGAGAAAGGTATCTAGATTTACAGTTAATTTTTTTCTTGCCACTGTAACTTGCTAGAGTGTAAGAACTACCTTATAGCAGAATTACGTCAGCAAATCAAAAAGTGGGCAAGACGCTAATCTCCAGAGTTCAAAACAAACAGAGGTAATATTTCATTCTGTTATTATAGTATTTCAACATGTTTCCCTTTATGTGTAAAGCTTTTTTTCTTCAGGGAAATATTCAATATGAAGGAGACGGGGCTGGAAGTTCTTGGTTCTTTCCAAATGAGTTTCGGGTACTTAGTTTGAGAAGTTGTAATTTACAGTACAATACCAATATATAAGACACTCAAGCATTGCTACATGCTACTTGTTCCAGGAACTACAAACAGATGAGCATGCTACCCCAACTCATATCATTTCTTACATTGATATTCTCCAGGTGCTACACATATTCACAATCAACTATTTGTTGTTAGAAACTATTTGTCAATGACTAATTCGGTTCTTTTAATTTTAAAGGGAAAGAAAAATGCCATGGATCTGCTAGCTGCCAACCTGAAGGAATGAAAAATACATGCTCTGGAGTCTGTTGTACTTCTGAATGGATTTGACGACAATGTCGCTTATAGCATTGGATGCCTCCATTTATTTTCATTAATGTAATCGTATTGTGAGAGCCATCTGTCTGTGTCATCTAGAACAGCTTGTGAGTACTAATTTATCTCTTTTGGAGACAGAGTTATCTAGATCATCTTTTGGAGATATGTACAAGAGCAATTCTTGTTTGCATTATCTTATATTCATTTAAATGTTTCTGTGTTTCACTTATGTTTTTGAAATATTTCTGCATTTACAGTTTAAACTCTCGACCAACATATTGTTAGAGCCATCTGTTTGTGTTATCTAGATCAGCTTGTTTGGTTTAACTCTGTAATCTGAGAAAATGTTCTGAATTTCGGTCAACTAGCAGTACCTCTGACTGGAGAGAAAAACTGAAACAAATCTGAAAGAAATAGTTGTCATAGTGTCATTCCTTTCACATATGCGCACTTTGAGAGTACAAGTAACTTGACATGCCGATGGCTTCACAACCAGCTCACATATAGCCGACAGAGTACAGAATAACAGAGGAACAGCCGGTTCTTGTATTTACAAGTCAATTTCTTGCCACTAGATTAGCAATCCAAGTTACAGAAGATCACGACAACTCTCTTCAACCTCAGATCAGCATGACAGGAAGACAAGTGATTGATGAGAGGCGCAGCGCCGATGGCGGCGGCGGTGACCAAGACGACGATAGCGTGCTCGCGGACTGCTGCACCAACGACTGCGGCTCAAGACGATGAAAGAGATAGAAAGGCGATGTTTGTCGGGGTTGCGGAGGGCCACAAATCCATGTGCAGGTCCGGCCGTCGGTGGGATGTTGTGGCGGCCACCGCGTCGACCGCGCGCGCAAGAGAGAGAGGGGACGAGAAGAGATGGCGTTGGACTATGTCAATTCGGGCTGGTCTTGGGCTATGGGTTGGTCTTGGGCTGTGGATTTAGGTGGATGGTCCTCTCTGTTGCCCCTCCTGCCCGCGCACGCTCGCAGCAGCGCTGCCACGTACAGTATGATCGTACAGGCATCCGATACAAGTGTGTCGTACGTATAGCAGCGCCGATCCGCAAACCAAACCATAGCGCCGCCGCCGCAAACCGGGGGCTGCGTGCCCCTCTCCATCCCCACTTCCCCCTCCGATTCAGATTTGCGACACTCCGATTCTAACCCAAATCGCAGCGCAATTTCAACTCCGATTAGAACAGCGAATGCCCCTGTCGGGTCGAATTCGATTTCGCGGCTGAATTTCAAGTCGATGCCCCTTTTAATCGCAAGCCCACCCCACCCAACACCAACAATCGCCACTAATTTGTTCCCCAATGCCTAGGATTGCTGCGAAGCTCCCGCGCCGCCGCCGGCGGCTGTGCGCGGACGAGGACCGCCTCGGTGACCTCCCCGACGATCTGCTCCTTGACATCCTGCGCCGCCTCGACACCCGCACCGCGCTCGGCGCCGCGGCGCTCTCCAGGCGCTGGGCCAGCCTGCCCCGCGAGGTCCCCGTCCTGGACCTCAAGGTCAGCGACATACTGCCGCCCCGCTACCACCGGTGCTTCCGCCTCCGCGAAGACGCCAGGGATTCGAAAATCAGCTCGACCTTGTCTGACAGGAGGCTTCTAGAGGCTATCACCGCCCGGTACGAGCGCCGCGCCATGCGATCCATGGTCTGCTCCCTCAAGAGCCTCCTGGCCAGCCAAGCTCGCCGGCGCGTGGAGAGGCTGTCGCTCGAGGTCTTCGCCTACAGCACCTCGGCCTGCATCAACCGCCTGGTCGTGGACGCCGTCGATTCCTGGGGCGTCCGGGATCTGGAGGTTGTTGCCACCCCGACAGGGCCGCTCACGCGTCTGGAGCCGTCGGCCTACAGCTTCCCTCTTGGCCTCATCAGCAGGAAGCCCGGCGAGTCCCGACTGCGAAGCCTCAAGCTTGCCAACTGCTTGCCCCCGCCGCTCCGGGGATTCAACGCGCTCACCACGCTCGTCTTGCGAGACTTGCCGGTTCCCACGCCGGCGGCCGCCTACGAGGAAGCGGTCGCCGCGTGCCCGCAGTTGCAAGTGCTACACATCCTTTCATGCGAGATCAAGATAACTGCCCGCAGGGTGGTTCTTGACGCGCCCAAATCGGAAATCAGGGAGCTTGTACTCGGCGGCGAGCTCGTGTCGGTCGAGATCCGGTCTCTCCCGAAGCTCGAGAGTCTCGCCAGCCAGGAAGCTACCGTGCTGCTTTGCTCCGCCGCCGCCGCCCCGTGCCTTGCGCACGTGAGCCTCGCCTTCTCGGTTGGCCGACTGGAAGGGGGCGGTTTAGCTGGTCTAAACCGCTCCTACCGCGACTTCTTGATTCAGCGGCTCGTGCAGTTCTTCCAGGGCGCCATCACCGTGAAGGATCTGGTCTTGCGGTTTACTGGGCCAGAGATGTGGATCATGCCGGAGAATCCCTTCTCTGCAATGGCGAACCTGAGAAGGCTGCTCGTCGCCGATGTGCCTTCCTCATGGGACGCCTCATGGCCGCGCCTGCTCATCGAGACGGCACCGTTACTTGAGAGCCTTTATGTGCATGTCTCCCACAGCGAAGGCGAGCCGAGACAGGAGGTGCCGGGGGAGACATCGGCTTCGCGCCATTACCATTTGAAGGAGCTTGTTGTCATTGGATTCCAGAGGACGGAGAGGCAGATGCGCCTTGTGAGGTTCACCGTGGAGGTATCCACGGCGCTGCGGCGTGTCGCACTGCTCAAGCAGGGACGCGTCGAGGACAAAGGGTCCTGCTGCGACTGGGAGGTGGTGAGCCAGCAGAGCGCGTGGTGCGACGAGGAGAGGCTCGCCGTTCTGGATGGTATCGGCTGTTCGACGGGACAGATCGAAGTGGTGCTCAGTTGAATTGAGCTTATGATGTTGGAGAATTGAAGGTGGATTCCTGTAGTTCCAGTCTGGCTCCCCAATTCGAATAAATGGAACCTGGCTGGTGGGGGGATTTCCTGCTGCTCCAACAATTTATTTGTGTGACATGTGTGTGAACTGAAATGTTACATTCAGTTATTTTGGTGCTGCTTCTTTGTATCTGAACTTGCCGAACAATGATGGCATGCAATATGATTGGAATATCATGTTTGTTATTTTATTCTCCTCTTACTAGTTGTTGTCTTATGGACGGGCGCAAAAATGAGATGACAATGCTGTACTGTTTAAATGCAAATGCGCATATACGCGTGATTAGACTGTCAAAATGTGTGAACTGGTCTTGTAAACTGAGAAGAGCAGTCATTCATGATCTGGAGACTGGAAATGCCCTGCGAAAAATGTCGACAGAGAATCTGAAGTAGTCAAGTGGAATCACTTGAACCAGGCTCAGCTTGTTGTTAACTGCAAGGAAAAGTTAGTATATATTACCTTCGTATCAAAATGTAGTAGTGTTTAGGTGAATCTACACTGTCTATATATGTACACAATACACAATTTTTTGAAAAAGAAAACACAATTTCACATGTATTTTCATTTTTTGAAAAAGAAAACAGAGGTCATGCAAGGTTGAGGTCATGTAGTAGTGAGGGGAGTCCGCTGGTTAAGCAGATACTCGTATAAAGGAGTAGTTGCTGGTCCGGAGTGGATAAGAAGACACCTCACCAGACCAATGAATTAGTTCTATTTAGTACTACGTGACCCTGACGGAACCTTCAGCTGGGTTTTACCCTGTTCGCTCCTAAAGATTAGATAGGACCGGGAGGCACGTGGCTGGTATCTACTACTCCCTCCGTTTTAAAATAAATGACTCAACTTTATACTTCCTCCGTTTCTTTTTAGTCTGCATATAAGGTTTGGTTAAAATCAAGCTTTGCATAGTTTGACTAATTTTATAGTAAAACTATCAACATTCACAATATGAAATCAACATTTTCAGATGCATCATGGAATGTATTTTCATATTATATAGTTTAAGTATTGTAGATGTTCATATTTTTTAATATAAATTTGGTTAAACTTTGTGTAGTTTGACTTTGACCAAAATTTATACACGGAGTAAAAAGAAACGGAGGGAATACTAACTTTAGTATAAACTTGGGTCATCCTTTTGAAACGGAGGGAGTACTTCTTTTTAAGGAATGCCTCGCCGGCGCACTTTACTTCTAAGCCAACAGTTACATCATGAATTACATGGGGCACTACAAAACTAGGAGTAGGAGGGGGGGGGGGGAGGACTTTGAGTCATATGATTTTGCTAGATAGTGTGCAACCTGATTGACATTCCTAGGGCAGTGATGGAAAAGAGATGCCATCAATAGCTTGCGTGAGAGCAAAAGCTTCCGCCGGTGTAGCTGAGTAGGAACCAAACAACTAGGTACGCGCAGAAAGCATTTGGCCTGTTTGGTTACCTGCAATCATTAATTGGCCTGCATAACACGAAACCTAAAGCACCTTGGAGCTAGGCCCGCTGAGAAACGCCGAATCGGCAGTTTTTCCACAGCTAGGCCCACGGGATGCACATGGTCTGCGTTGGTTGCACGCGATGAGCCGTGCTCGAGTCGTCGCGTTGCTGCCTGATGTGCCGGCAATAATTACCCTCACCTACCCTCACCACTCTCTCTCCCCTCTCTCCACTCTCTCACTCTCGCGCCGGTGGTGGCGATCAGCGGATTAGAGAACAGCAAGGCGACCACCGGCGTCCATCACCAGCGTAACCAACATCATCCGCAAACACTTCGGCAACCTGATTGACATTCCTAGGGCAGTGATGGAAAAGAGATGCCATCAATAGCTTGCGTGAGAGCAAAAGCTTCCGCCGGTGTAGCTGAGTAGGAACCAAACAACTAGGTACGCGCAGAAAGCATTTGGCCTGTTTGGTTACCTGCAATCATTAATTGGCCTGCATAACACGAAACCTAAAGCACCTTGGAGCTAGGCCCACTGAGAAACGCCGAATCGGCAGTTTTTCCACAGCTAGGCCCACGGGATGCACATGGTCTGCGTTGGTTGCACGCGATGAGCCGTGCTCGAGTCGTCGCGTTGCTGCCTGATGTGCCGGCAATAATTACCCTCACCTACCCTCACCACTCTCTCTCCCCTCTCTCCACTCTCTCACTCTCGCGCCGGTGGTGGCGATCAGCGGATTAGAGAACAGCAAGGCGACCACCGGCGTCCATCACCAGCGTAACCAACATCATCCGCAAACACTTCGGCAAATGGCGGTAAGTCCTATTTTCACCTCCCCGCGTATGATTTTCGCAACCGATCCGCGTTTAGATTCGGTCCGCGTATACGATCCACATTCTAGGGGAATGGGGAATCGTGGTAAATAGCCATAGGATTGATCAACACTTCTTCATGGGTACTAAGTGGCGATGGATTTTGTATCACCCTCATAATTAAGCTACAGTAATCCCCTGATAATGGTGCCATGTCATCACTTTTACTGTTGCTAATCCTTACTTTATTTGAAACACAATTCAAATTCAAATTTAAATTGAAGTCAAATAATTGAAATTCTCAAACATGAAAACTAAAATGTTTATCATGTGGCAAATACTCCATAGATAATTATAGTGGTGAACCAACATTTTATAAAGTATTTAAATGCCCTAAAATAAATGAAACAGGGGCTAAAACAATCATTTAAATGCTTTTTCAAATATAATAAATGCAAACTATTTTATTTAAAGTGCCAAACTAATTGTGGGAGTGGCCTAATTTATAATGATAATTTAGGTGTTAGTTTTATATTTTATAAAACTAAAATAATATAAAAGGAAATGGAAAACCGATAAGATAAAAAAATAAAAAAAGGAACCCCCTCTGCCCTGGGCGTTAGCCCACCAGGCCGGCCCAGCCAGCCAGCTCCCCCTCCCCGGTCGTCTTCCCTATTCACCCGACCGGGCGCGCTCTTGAGCCATGGTCGCCCCCGACCACCTCGCCGGCGACGTCTCGAAGGGGGATAAGGATGCCCCCAATGCCTCGCTCCCCTCTCCCATCTCCACTTTCCCCCTCGCTCTCTCCCACTCACTTCCCCTCCTTAAAACCGCCGCGTCGCGCCCGCCGAAGCACTGTCGTCCTCCGTTCGCTCGTGTTCGGGAGCTCCCTTGCCCCTGCCTACATCGACTGTGTCAACTCCTCCGAGCTCACAGCTCCTGCCTTGTCGAATTCGAGGTTGTCTTCAAACTTCGGGCGCTCGAGATCACCGCCACCGTACGTCGATGTCGAGCCTCCCCCGAGCCCATTGCTGCCCCTACAGCTCCGTCGTGAGCCCTCCTACCATTTCCCTCTCTCCCCTCCGTGGAATGCATGCTCTGGCTAGCCTTACCGCCATTGCCGACGCTCGTCGCCACTGTGTGCTTCGCCTTCGCGGCCACAACTGGCCGAGCTCGCTTTAGAGCACGACATCGTGCTCCTGGCACTGCCAGGAGGCCTCCTAGTCTGTCCGCTCCTCCTCCCGTGCCCCATGTCACCATTTCCGACCATGCCCAAACTTCGGCGCCCACCCGTGAGCTCGCCGCCTTCGAGCCTAACCACCGCAGCCCCTACCACGGCCACCATTCAACGCGGCTCCATCCGCTCGTTCGAACGCACCCCCCGTGCTCCTAATGAGCTCCTGAGGGCAGTTTCCGATGCCCTCCCATGTGCGCCATCATCGTTTTGGTCGCCGGCGGCTAAATGCCGGGCACCACTGCCATGCTGACATGGTACCACCCGGGGCCAACCACTGGACACTAACTAGTGGGTCTGAGGGGCCCCTTTGACCCAGTTGACCCCAATCAACGACTGACTGGTGGGCCCCTTTGTATTAACTAAATGACATAATTAAAATAATTAGCTAAATTAGTTAGACACTGTCATGTGGGCTGATTACCCTATTTAATTAGTTTAGTTTTTATTTAAACTCTATTTAGCCCACTGAGTATTACAGGTGGGTCCCAGCCATCAGTTTGACCAGTCAATTGACTGTGTTGGCAGCTGACATCATGATGATGTCATGCTGATGCATGATACGTCTCCAACGTATCTACTTTTCCAAACACTTTTGCCCTTGTTTTGTACTTTAACTTGCATGATTTGAACAAAACTAACCCGGACTGATGTTGTTTTCAGCAGAACTCCCATGATGTTGTTTTATGTGTAGAAAAGAAAAGTTCTCCGAATGTCCTGAAAATCCACAGAGGCACTTTTTGGAATTAATAAGAATTTCTGGGCGAAAGAAATACACCAGGGGGCTCAGGGCTTGTCCACGAGACAGGGGGGCGCCCCCCTGTAGGGTGCACCCCCCTATCTCGTGGGCCCCCTGGACCTCCACCGACCTGAACTCCAACTCCATATATTCCATCTCGCGGAGAAAAAAATTAGAGTGAAAGTTTCATCGCGTTTTACGACACGGAGCCGCCGCGAAGCCCTAATCTCTCTCGGGGGGCTGATCTGGAGTCCGTTCGGGGCTCCGGAGAGGGGGATTCGTCGTCGTCGTCATCATCAACCATCCTCCATCACCAATTTCATGATGCTCACCGCCGTGCGTGAGTAATTCCATCGTAGGCTTGCTAGACGGTGATGGGTTGGATGAGATTTACCATGTAATCAAGTTAGTTTTGTTAGGGTTTGATCCCTAGTATCCACTATGTTCTGAGATTGATGTTGCTATGACTTTGCTATGCTTAATGCTTGTCACTAGGGCCCGAGTGCCATGATTTCAGATCTGAACCTATTATGTTTTCATAAATATATGTGTGTTCTTGATCCTATCTTGCAAGTCTATAGTCACCTATTATGTGTTATGATCCAACAACCCCGAAGTGACAATAATCGGGATACTTGTCGGTGATGACCGTAGTTTGAGGAGTTCATGTATTCACTATGTGCTAATACTTTGTTCCGCTTCTCTATTAAAAGGAGGCCTTAATATC